TCTCTTTCCCCTTGGGATCCTGGGCTCTTTCGAACCCAACACGCCTAGAACCCAATGGTCATTGCGTTCAAATGTGTGGGTTCTAGCAACTAAAACCCAGCGGCCGTTAGGTTTAAACCTAGCATGCTTGGGTTCCAACCACTGGAACCCAACAGTCGTTGGGTTTGAACCCGTGGGTTTCAACCGTTGAAACCCAAGTGTGCTAGGTTCTCAAACACATGGGTTCCAGCAGTTGGAACCCACACATTTGAACCCAACGGTCACTGGGTTCAAACCCAACAAATTTTTCGTTTTGTATAAAAAATCAAAAAGATTTTCTATTTTTTGTGGGTTTTGTTGTTTGATGATAATGACGAATAATTGACTGGTGAAGAATGGTGATAAAAGCGGACTCGAAGGAAGCAAAGAGAGAAAAAGAAGAATGAAAGAAAAAGATTTGAGAAAGAGAAGGCTTAGAGGAAGAAGATGAGGGCAAATTTGTAATTTTGATGGGTCCCACTTTTTTTTTTTATGTTGGGCGAGAACATAACATGTCGTATTGCCATGTCATAATTTTTTCCATTTGTACATCGAATATGTCTCAAAATTTTGACATATTATTAAGTCCTGTGAGTTAATGGTGGATTTTTAACAAAAGGATTGAGTCGAGGTCAAATTAGTAAACAGTAGGGACCGAATAAAGGATTTTTTCAGTACAGGGACCAAATCGAGGATCCGTACAATAGTTGAGGGACCAAAAAAGGGATTTAACCTTAATTATACCATAATCTCTCCATACTCGTACAATACTCGTACACATAAAAAGTCCATACCTTTGATTAGATGGGTTGTATCAAGAAGAGAAAGGAGGGATTGGGGATAACAATGCTTTGTGCTTGAGGGTCCTTTGGAATTTCTTCAACAAAGCAATTATTGAATCATTGCATGATTGTATGTAAGAAAATGGGTTCCACCACAATCAAAAACCTTTAAGAACAGTTGATACTGATATGGTGGGAGCACTCTCTGAATCACTTATTGTTGGCTTGTACTAAAAATTCAATAAATTGCAAATGCACTCTTCTTAAAGCATTATATAATTATTGGGAACAAAATGTGGAAATAAAAGGAATATCTCACAAGGGCCCAAGAAAACAAAGAAAAAAAAAAGGAGTTTTCCTTTTTTCACCTTTTTCCTTTTTGTCTTCTCTCCTTGCTCTTTTGCACAATTAAGAGTATTTAGAGTAGTATTATTTTTATAGAATAAATGGATGTACTAAATTCCAAAAAGAAAAAGTATAAAAGATTTTTGGTTTAACCACTTAGTGCTCAATTATTTTTATCAATTTGGAATTCAAACTTATTTTTTGGACTAATTAAGTCCTTATATTGTTCGTTATGCCCAACTAACTCAAAATTAAATGAAAAAGTAATATAACCTTTTATGACTATAATGTTTCTGTTAGTACCTTGCCCAATAAGCTTTTTTATTCTAGATGTGGAAGCTAACTTGGCAAATTTGAGTGAAATTGTTAATTTTTTTCAAACTACTAAAGTGAATAAAAAGTTTATTTAAAGTTCAATTTCACACAAGATAAAAAAGTTAACCAGTACCCAATTAGTTCACAAATAAGTTTATGAGTGAAATTAGAAAAGAAACTAAGTTGAGGGGCTAACTTAGAGATTATTAAGTTATTCTAAAATTATTTACTTTAAAAACATCAGAGAAAAATAACAATTGTGTTATTGTCATGTGATTTTATTACGTAGTTATTTATAATTTTTTAAAATTTATTATAATATTTTAAAATAATTAGTTATAAACTACTAATAAATATTTAATAATTAAATTAAAATAAAAATTTAACTGTTTTTATAACAAACAAATACATCGCCAAAAAATGACGTTGCCAACAACAACCAACCATCATCAATGATCAATCCAGATGTTACTTATCATCAATTTGATTTTTAATTCTGATCTGATCTCCGGATTTGCTTATCTTCAACCCATATCCGAGATGAAGGACTGGGACGGCGTGCCGGTGGGCTGTGAGAGACTACACACGGCGCTCTGCGAGTGCCACGGGCGACTCCTGTAAAGGCCAGCTAGGGATTCGACGTGTCTACACCTGAACCGAGCCCTGGCAGAGTGCGTAGCGTCGGTGGCGTGTCCTGAAGAATCGGAGGCGGTGTGGAGCCTCTGCGGCAGTGGAGGGACCCGGCTGAAGCGGTCCCAATACCAACAGGCTCAGCTGTCCCTCACTGTTTCATCCCATTGTATGCGCATATGATATGACTCAAATTAAAAAACAAAAAAATTATTATTGAATTATTTAGATCAATTTTTCTTATTTAATTTTCTTGTGGTGAGTAATGAATTTGATGTTACCTACAAAATACTTCTTGCCCTAATTTACCCTATAGAAAACAATTAAAGAGTAATATTATTTAGCTCGAAATTGAGAGCAAATGTTACACATTTTTTATATCAAACGAACGGATGCATATCACATGAATTCACTAGGCGAAAAGAATCCATAAAAGAGGAGCATTTGATACCTGCACAGACTAAGTTAGAACATTGATGATGCAGTATTTGGAAATTGGAATTAACAGTAAACGGCACTCAAAGGCAAAAGGATCATCTTTTATTCAGGATTTGGTTGGGACTGTTGCATACTAAGAAGAAAACCTGCTTCTGTCATGAGGAGAGGAATAGTCAGTGTTGGGGCCAACAGGGATAATTCCAAATGGATCCATGGAAGGATGACTTCCATAATAATGTCGCTTGATGTGATCCATGTTTACTGTACTGCTCATGTCAGGGATTTGGAAAATATCCTTGGTATAATTCAACAAATTTGGGTACTCCCTTATTAGTCTCTTGTTGCACTTGAAGTGAACTGCATAAACCTGCAATCAAGTTGGATGCACAAGACATTTAACAACCACACCAAGAGTCATTGATAGTTTTCAGATCTTGACGTGAACATAATCCCACTTAAACTAGGTCTGTGTCAAATTAACAGCATCAGTAGAGGCTTAAAGAGATATAGTGTCATAAACTGCTAAAAGAGTTCAGATCCTCAGGAATATTGAAAAACAAAGAAAACTAGCATTTCATGTTCGATGATGTCCAAAGACAAAAATATCATACCTCATCAAATCTTATTAAGGTTACAAAGAGCCGAATATCTGCCTCTGTTAGTGTATTCCCACATATATATCTTTGCTTGCTTAGTATCTCCTCACATCTGTCAAGGGCTTTGTACAACTTTTCAATGGCCTGAAATGAAGGCAGGGATTGTAAACATGCTACATATGCCACAAACCTCAACAAGAGTTCAAAAATTCTATTGAAAAACATACCTCATTATATGGTGCTTGCTTCTTTGCAAACCCACATCTATAAACACCATTGTTTATGCCCTCATAAATCCATTCATTAACCTCATCAATTTTAGATTGCAAGTGAGGAGGATACAGATCCAACGCTGCATTCTCTGCTAAATTATTGAATTCACTATTAAGCATGCGAATGATCTCAGAACTCTCATTATTCACAATCGTGTTCAGTTTCTTATCCCATAGAACCTATCAAAATACAAAAATGCACTTGACTAAGACTAATTACACACATGAAAAAAAATGGAAACAGTTAACTACTTGATATGAAAAATAAAGGCAAAAACCTACTTTTAACCCCTCATTTTACCAAGTTTGAAGGTTTTAACCCCTCAGCTTATTAGATTTATTGGTTTTAGCCCTTTACCTATTAAAATGAAAAAAAATAACTTTCACTTTATACTGACTGTTAACTCTGTTAGTTAAAAATAAATTTTTATTAACTAACAGTCAACTAATAGTCAGTTAACAGAATTAATAAAATATTATAAAGTTAGTTCTATTAATTTTGTTAGTTAAAAAAAAAATTTTGTAAGTTAACAGTCAATTAATAGAGTTAATAGTCAATTAATAGAGTTAATAGTCAATTAATAAAGTTAACAATCAATTAACAAAACTAACAAAATGTTACAAAGTGATAGCTATTTTTTTCAATTCAAATAGGTGGGGGGCTAAAAGTGTCATAGTATAAGGTGAGAGATTAAAACCTACAAATCTAGTAAGGTGAGGGGCTAAAATATTATAGTATAAGGTAAGGGATTAAAATCTTCAAACTTAATAAGATGAGGGGCTAAAAAGTAGGCTTATGCCAAAAATACATACAGGAACAGAATATTTTCCATTGTAGTCTCTGCTAGTGCTAGCAAGCTCATAGAGTTCTCTTACTGTCTTTGCTCCATTGATGGGGTCAGGCTCTGCTCCTGGTTCTTCATCATCGGAACTCGGAAAAACCCATCCAATATGCTCATCATTTTCCTTTGTATTTTCCCATTTGGATTTCACTACCTGAGAGCAGATTAGCATACAAGATATTGTATTGATGGAAAAACTAAAACAAAATCCCAAGAGAGTTTACCGTGAAAGAAATCACTTTGTCAAGTCCTTTGATTCTTAGATATGAAAGACACCTACATGCCCAAGGACAGCCATAGGCTATGTAAAGATGGTACCTTCCAGATTCTGCTGGGAAAGGAGAATTTGGGTCCTGAGAAACGAAATTCCGGAATTTCGATGGAGTTCTAGCAAAAGCACCGGATTCTGAAACCTCTTCGATTGACGATCGAGACATTCCAACAGTAGTGAGCTGAAAAATTCATAACTTGCAGAATCAGGAAATTGCAGTCCGTTTGTATAGAGAGAAAGAAAGTGGAAAGGATTACCTTGGAACGGAATTGCTGGCGTGGAAGAGAGCAGCACTTCCTGGGGATAACAGGGAAGTAGGGTTTAGGAAGGGAAGAAATCACTGACTTCAAAATGTTAGCTAGAAACAGAGGGATACAGAGCGAGTGAGGATTTTTAAGATTTTAAAAATCTACCTGAAAGATGCCCTTTGGTTCCAATTTACAATGCAGGACTTTAAACTAGACAAATTTAGATTGAAAGAAGGGAAATTCTTGCGAACTAATGCAAATGCAGAAAGGGGTCTAAAGTCCATCATGCGAACTCAAATCCAACATTTCTTGCTTCACTTTACTTAAATAAGATATTATTATTGAGCCAGTTAAATTATTAGTTATTAAAATAAGAGTTAATGTTGCATAAGAAAAAAAAAAAGAGTAATTTGAATGCAAGTAGCTAATCAAAATACTACTAAAAGAAAAGGGAAGAAAAACATCTTTACAACAGACGGCAAATAAGAAGAACCATGAAATTGTTCCACAAAATTAAGAAACACAAACAACACAAATTTAGATTACAATGCCTGTTTTGGTTCATAGCAACATCATGCAGATAATAGAAGAAACATAGTAGTGTGGTGACACTGCCCTTTTTTTTTTAACCTCCACAGAAGGGTGTCCATAACATTGTCATCAAAGATCAGTTACCATCATACTCTCAGGGTGGTGTGTATACAATTATTATACAAGAACAACAAGCATTGCCACACAAAATCTACATGATGTTAGGATCTGTTGACGCGTTTTGTTATGCAGAAAATCTGGCTCTGTCATGTGGAGCAGAGTAGTCAATATCTGGTCCACTAGGGATTATCCCAAATGGGTTTATAGACGGGTGACTTCCATAATAATGCCTCTTGATGTGTTGCATATTCACTGTACTGCTCATGCCAGGAATTTGGTAGATGTCTTTGGTATAGTTGAATAGGTTTGGGTACTCCCGCAGAAGCTTCTTGTTGCACTTGAAATGAACTGCATACACCTGTAACAGAACAAACACAGAACAAACTTACTGTCATGTTTCACTTTCATTTCCTCATTGAAGTACCATAAAGATGATTTTGATATTGGAAGAGACTGAAAGAAAGAAAGACAAAATATCTTGTTGTTAAAAGGAAGAACATTACTTCATCGAATCTTATAAGGGTGACAAACAGCCGTATATCTGCTTCAGTCAGCTTGTTTCCACAGAGGTAGCGTTGCTTGGCAAGTATCTCCTCACATTTGTCCAAAGCTTGATATAATTGTTTAACAGCCTAGATAGATTGATGGATAGATTTGAGAGAAGCATTAGAAAAGGTAATAATCCTTTCAAGAATTTAGATCAAGCTGTAATGTATAACCTGAAGTTACAGAACTAAATCATTAAAAATAAATAAATATTACCTCATCATAAGGTCCTTGCTTCTTAGCAAAACCGCATTTGTAAACACCATTATTTATCCCACTGTATATCCATTCATTTACCTCATCAATCTGAGCTCGCAGGTCAGAAGGATAAAGATCTAAAGCAGGATTCTCTGCTATATCATTGAATTCAGTATTTAGCATGCGGATGATCTCCGAACTCTCATTATTAACAATTGTCTTGAATTTCTTATCCCATAGGACCTATCAGAGAACATAAAGCATCAAGTAAATTAAAAGATTCAGACATCACATGAGGAACCAAAAGAGAGAGAAACAAGAGGCACTTTATTTCTATGAACTTACAGGAACTGTGTACTTCCCAGTGTAGTTAGTACTTGCAATCTCATATAGTTCCCTTATACTTTTTCCTCCATTTAAAGGATCAGGCTCAGCTCCTGGTTCCTCTGTATGCAAAGTTGGAAAAACCCATCCCATATGTTCATCAGTTTCTTTTGTTCTCTCCCATATCGGTTTGACTGACTGATTAACACAAGAACAAACAGAATCAATACTTTCATAACAGATCGGACCTTACTGCCACAAGAAACTCTTTACATGGATTACCAACCGTAAAACTGATGGCTTTGTCAAGTCCTTTGATCTTCAAGTATGCAAGGCACCTAGAAGCCCAAGGACAGGCATACGATACATACAAATGATACCTTCCAGCCTCGGGTGGAAATTGAGAATTTGGATCCCGGGAGATAGAGTAGCGAAAAGTTGAAGCAGTTCTCACAAAAGCCCCAGAGTCAGACATTTCATCCAGTGCAGATCGAGCCATTTGAAAAGTGCACTGAAGATTGCATAAGATTACTTTAATTTTCCATAATCAATTAAAATCATACCATTTCCAAGATTTAAGCAACAAGCTAGAAAATTTCCCAACCCTATGATACAAGCAGATATCTTTTGAAAATAGGCAATGGGATACAAGCAGATATTGCGTCTTATTTTCTCAATTCTCCTATTTTTCTGTAGATTTCAAGGATATGTAGTTTCAATTTCAATCCATAAATATAGAAAATTCCATTGAGAAAAATAGAAACAATCAAGTACTTAAGATTGACATTAGTCAGACCCTCAAAATAATTGCTTCAATCACCAAAAACAGGAACCATATCTAAAAAGAAAAGAGCGAAGAAATAGCTATCTAGGTTCTAATGGAACAGAACTAAAGATATCCAGAAACACCATTTCAGTTTCATCGAAAGCATACCAGATTTTCAGTGACACTCATCTCACAACAAACGCATATGACATCTTAAAAGGGTCAGAAAAAAGATCATCGATGAAACCGAAACATAAAAATTGAAATTCAGAAGTCAACAATCAAACACAGGGGGAGATATCTGGTACAAACAACAATTCGAAAACGGTGAAAGCAATCAACTTTATTAACAGCTAGCATAGACCCAGAGACAAATTCGGCTTATGAATTGAGATCAAACAGAGAGAAAGAGAGAGATCAAATTCACGGTTACCTTGAAAGCAGAAAATGGGAGAATAAAAGAAGTTTTCCGAGCAGCAACAAATGCTGAATGTGATCTGCAGAAGACAAAAGGCATTATTTTTGTCATTTGCCACTTTAATTACGAATTCTGTCCTTTTCTTTCCAAAATTTTCAATATTTTATGTTTTCATTGATTGTTTTCCCATAATACCCTTCTTCCAAATAAAAAAGGTTAAATGCTTAATTTGGTCCCTTAACTTTAATAAATGAACATTTTTGGTCCCTCAACAATTTTTTGCACTTTTTTGATCCCTCAACTATACGAAATGCACTCCGTTAGTCCTTCTGTT